TATGAGATCTATATTTCACAATAAAAACATTGTGAATAACTCATAGAAATATAATATATTCTGTTTTACCACAAAAACGGCAGTTATAGCTATTATTCTGATATCTGAGCTTGTCTTCAGACCATGTGACCTCCACTGATGGCTATACTCTGTTATAATCTCTTAAGAGATTTTAACAAAAAACCAAACTTTTTAGAAAAAAACCAGGGACTCACTTTGAATGTAAAAATGAATTCATTAACCATTGGTAAGTATGGGAAAATTGTTGTTAACTCCAGGAAAATTCATTTTTTGGCCAAAACGAAGAGTTATTATCCCTTTAACATGGGGGAAATGGACACCTACCTGTAAAAAGCCCAAAGGCCACTGAATAGACCACAAATTGCGTATAGATACTCCAGAAAGGGAACAAGTCGTTGAGTTTCGGACACACTGCAGTCATGACTCCAGCAATGATGAGGAAAACACCGTAGATTTTGAGTGAATCTGCCCAGGGGCGGTCCGACACGGCACCAGATAGGCCCCGCCCTATGGCGTTGGCCACGCCCATCCAGGATATGAATTCCACGGCTTCTTCGTACTTGATCTCCTGTTGTATCGCCATAATTGGCACGAACACGTAAGGGATGAAAAAACCTGAAAATATATAACCAATTTATGTTTGATTACACAACAACTCACGAAATGAATACACAAGAAGGAAAGCGTTTTCGAGCTTAAAATGTTTGCAAATTTCCATCTTCCAACGTTCACGAGTAAGTTACCTAGAACTAGCAGTCACAATATCTTAGCTCTGCCGTTGAATTATTAGAAAATAGATGATTTTATTTCTCATAGTAAGATTTAAATGCAGTCATTATTTTCAAGCACCAAGACTCATACAGAAAGCTAGCGACGGAGTTTTTTGGAGCTGCACTTACCCATCGTACTCAACAACGTAGAAAGGCACAGGATAGGGAAAGTGATGTTCTTGAACAATGACAGGTCCAACATCTCCTTGATGACATCAAATATGGGATTGTGATGCACCACAGGCACGTGTGTGACACTCTTCAGATACTGCTGCAGATCATTGTGAGCCGCCTGAAACTGTGGAAGGTGCGCCACGCTGCCATTGAAGAAAATATCCCTCCTGTAGAGAGGCCGTGCCATGTCTTCCCGTTGTTGCTCTTCTTCCTCTGGGTTTTCCGATGTGTCCCCGTGCTGTTGCCAAATTTCCTCGGTTTCGGAAGACGCATGCTGTTGGCTGCCGCTTGGAAGACTTTGCGTACTGGAATAGCCGCTAGATGGCGACATCTCCTTATCGTCATCCGAGGATTTATAAGTCAACATGTGTGGTTGTAGCGACATAGTGCTTCCTGGGTTCAAACCAGAAGGTGTACAATAAAACCGACTTCGTTCGAGGACCTCTACCAGTGGTTTATTCTTTATTGCTACTGACCGATTCATCTGTCCCGTACAACTGAGACTAACGTCCGCCGGATTTACCGGTAAAATTGAGGGTCTGGGTTTAGGTTTTTTGTGAACCGTTTCATCGACAGCGATGATAAGCTGCACCAAGTCTTTATTTCGAATCAATCTGTTGTCTTTTGTGATAATTGTATTGTCTAAAGAATGCGTGGAGATAGTCCTTTGCCTTTTCTTTTCCGCTATCAGTTTTGTCATAATATTGCCACGGTAAATAATAATTGGTTTCCTTTTCTTGCGCTTTGGTACGTCTAGTGGCCGAAAGAGGGCGGCACAAATCACGATCTGCAAGACAATCCCTGCTACAAGTACGAGTCCACCTCGCCAGTGGTATTCCTTGACGAGTTTGCTAGAGAGCATTGGAAAAACAATGATTCCGACCCCAGATCCCGACACTGCAATACCGGTGGCCAGCGCCCTCTTTTTCTCGAAGTAAAACCCCACTATCACGATGGCGGGGAGGTAGATTAGGCCAAACCCGATGCCTGGAAAAATTAAAGGGTTTTTATTAGCAAAAAGTTTCATCTTACCAAACCATAACATAATACGTGCTGTTTGTCTTGCGAACAATTTCTTTCTGCTAAAACCGTATTCTATTTCTAGATAAGTGGCGGCCGTAATTAATGGCACAATCCAAATCTGTTCACACACCGTACGTGTAGTAATGCATCTACATACATATATTAGTAATCGTCGGTCATTAAACCTCCCAAATTACCACATAAAACGTTCCGGGGACCTCTCTCACACACTCCACGTTCAAGTACGATCATTGGCCAATAATTGACAGATGATGCTACATGTATATAGGACATAAAAAAACCCATGCCCGCCAAGAATGCATTCAAAGGGCATGATATATTACATTAGTGGCGGTACATTAAACCGGTTTCCAGGAGAAACCAACGACCCTGACAGGATAACACGAGAGCTCTCTCTCCACTCACTGGACCCTGGATTTTACAGCCTTTTTATATCTTGTCTACAGGTAATTGGGCTTTTTTCATAATGCAGCTAGATCTGCTCTTTAAAATCGGGGCGCTTGAGAATTAAGCACTTAATTCGTTTGCTTTACCAATACTTAGGTCATGTACAAATGTAGCCTGCACATGTTAGCCGGATTTTCCCGCAGAATATTAGCTGGGTGATCAAATGATGTATTGTGGGCTTTTTTGATTGCCGTATTTTTAAACTGTGAGTGTTGAGTGCGTGTTCAAAACATGTCTGGTTACTAAGCACGGGATGAAGGACAAATGAGAGAGGATGTGTGGATGAAAGGCAACTACATGTTCCCTGCAAAGACTAACTGAATTTACTCTTCAGAGGAACTTGTTCTACATGGCTAGAGCTCCTATCACCAACCTAAATCACACAAGGGGGCGCATGTGCATCCTTTGAAGCGAACAGGCATCACGACTAAGATTACAATGTAAAACTCAACTAGAACTAGCCAATATTTTTGGTCCAAAATGTTAAGAATAAATCCTCATGTGAAAATGCAAACAGCACAAAAAACAGTGACAACAGTTCATTGTCAATTAATCCTGCTATGTTATGTCAGCTCCCCCTAAAATACTGCACAAAAATACACTACTTTCAAAAATTTGTAAGAGCCTACTAGCGCACCCTTTGGCCAGAGAGTAAATTAATGCCATCGCCTCACCTCCAATAACTCCGTATGTAAGAATTAACCAGTTTAAGTTGGTGGTCAGCGTACTGAGGAGGAAGGCCACGGTCGCCATCACGGCGCCGGATATCGCCACCATACGGCACCCGTAACGGTTCGCCAGCGCACTCGTGATGGGCCCTGAAATTAAAGAGAAAGAAAATTAATTGATGACATCATATCAAGTTTTTTATTTGTCATGTCGAATTATTTAATTTTTTAGTAAACAACCACTTCTATTCGAAGTAGTATAGTCATCCAATAATGTTAATGTGTAATATTAAAAACAGAATAAATTATTATTAATACTTACGAGTTGATGAGTTTCCTTTTTTTTTTCTTTTTTTTTGTGAAAAAGAAAACCACCAAGAGATATACCAATCACATAAGTACGTATAGAAGGATGCAAAGTGGACACAATGCAGAAATACATTTCCATCTGCATCTACGACATTCTTGACTCGTGAAATTGATTCCTTTTACAAAAACGTCACTATGGTCAGAAAGAGGGCGCCAGCGTTACTCACCCATAAGGAGATAGCACCCCGTGAGGCAGGAGCCGGCCCAGGCCGTCTGCTCGGCCGTCGACTCAAAATAATGCATGAACTCCAACATGAAGATCATGAAGGAAAAACTCACGCCGTCCACCACCACATTGCACATGAAGGACGCCGCCACCACCACCCACCCCCACCCTCCGTCAGGGGGTACGGGGGGGCCTGGAACCTCCGCATCTTCGTCCACAAAAACCCGCCTTTTAGCACCCATGTTCTATTCTGGAAAACAGAAACAGAAAAAGTTTAATGAAATATATTCCAGGGATATTATGTTACGGATCATTTCGTTCGTTCAATTATATGTAACATCCCTGGTGACATCCGTGTTCGATTCTGAAAAATTAAACGTTTAATGTTGTGACATTTTTATAGGAGGTAACGTGAATATCTATCAAACATTTCAAGCTACTGAATTGGATCTAAAACTGCCATTATCACATTTTAAAATAACTTATTTCCAACAATGCATTTAACTTGAAATAAAACACTACACACAAGAGAGAAAAAAAATTATATATAACCGTTTCTGACAAGTCTTAAGCCGTTCTATATCATTTTCAATATTGAAAATAAATAGCTAAGGACACGCACAAGTGACAAGATGGTCAGGTCACTTTTTAACACACAAGTTGTCTGTCCTGAACTCGTGCCGTCACTGTGGTCTACGTCTCCTATATGAACCTTGTCTGAATTCAGTTTCATAACTTAAAAAAATTATATATATAGCTACCGTGCACGAAATCCTATACACGCACCTCCGTCCATAATGGAGTTCATTATGTGGCCGTACTAATCTGATTGGTATCAAACCCTAATGGTTAAGTACTGAGGTTGTGCCACATGGACAAATGCACCGACCCTAAGCTGAATTACTTACAGGATACTTCGCCCTCAGTCCACGAGAATAGGAAAAGTCCGTTCCAACATCGATATAACTCGGTTGTCTAACAGTTTCGTATATACACGTGTGTTAACTATCTACATAACTCGTGTACGTTCGCTAGCTGCTCACACAATTGTAATCTGGGGCAGCCTATCCAGGGTTGTGCATCTACAGTGCCCGTAACTCTCTCGCTCTCTCGTTCTGCATTCTGCGCACCCTTCACATCCAGACACGTGCGTATGTATATCAGTGTATATATATATCACTAGAATTAAGTATCTGACCTCAACGCCCCTCTTTTCCGAAAGTGCCTAGCTAGGTTTATAACTAATGGTGACATTCAGCTGCTCGGCATTTGTAACTTCAATACAACATACCAACGATGATTGCACACTATACTTAGTACCCGGTACATAATGAAAACGTACAAACGCCATTACAATTTTTAAACTGAACTACAATTCCATGTTGATGCCAAAGAAAAATATGTCTAAATCTAGTGTCTGTGTATCGTAAATTAGTAAAAGCCTCCTTACGCCCTTACCCTTGGTTGTTCTACCCTGTGGCAGTATTTTACATGTAACTTAAGTCCAGCTGGATACGCCACCCCCTTCTACCTCCGATCTGTCCAGTTCTGGACGCACTGACCGACTGGTAGCCACTCGTGTCGCGTGTCTTTTTTGAGACCAAATTATATTACGTTGTTCGCTCTCCTTCCAGGTCGCTATCCATATGATGCGTATTTAACATAATACGTGCCGTGCTGTCGTTTTTTTTTTTTTTTCTAGTCAAGGCCAATCATTTTCTTCAAGTCAACGAGAAAGAGACACACAATTGGACAGATACAGGTGTAGTTACACTAACTACAAAGCCTTTTTGTAAGCACCCCACCTGTAGAGTTTATTAACCTTCGAGATATTGAAAGAAAAGAGGCCCAGCCGTTGCTGCGTCTTTCTGCCAATCCCAGCACTTTCAAACAGGGCTCGATCAGACCTAGAAAGATGAACAATGGCCGCATGAAAGGACCAATGTTCACTTGACGCACCGATTCCACGACAATGTCAACGCACACTCATCTGTAAAGAAATTGCTCTTCCTCAACAAATTGCTCTACGTCTCTCTAATCTCTGTATCTATAGGAGTCCACCGAAGCGCTTAATGATCCCCTTTTTGCCAATGTCCACGTTGAACCGATGGATGGATAATCTGGTCAAAGGAACAATAGGACTGGACGGGGTGAACCCCCCATAGTACACCCGGTTTGTGCCCAGTGAAAGGACGAGGTGACGGTGGTCAAGCCCGCAGTTACACAAGGTCGAAAAAAGTTTGAACCTGGGCACCCTTTCGTGTACTCCATTCTACTGAGTTAAACTGGTCACCCTTATCTAATGGAGTGTTCTCCCCAGATACCAACTAAATGCATTAGGTGTTACTTATTGCGACAAACTATTGCCACTTGACGAAATCAAAAGCGGTCACCGTGCGTGTCGATATTTGTACAGCCAGAAGCTGTTAAATAAATAAACAAACAAATAAATAAATAAATAAATAAATAAATAAATAAATAAATAAATAAATTCTAACAAAATGACGTCATTAAGATGATGGCAAAATATCTCTTAATTTAATTATAACATTAAACAAGTGGTACGTGACGGCAACCATGAAAACATATACTAATACACAATGTCTATTACCTTAGCTATACGATTAGCTGCAACTCACAGGTGTAACTAAAACGAGTTAATGGAAAAATTCTTGCGTAACACACCCAATCAATATGGCTTAAACGTAACATAGTTGCAAGAACGCCAAGAACTACGCAGGCGTTGAAGCCCGTTCGTGAGCTAATTAAACATTGGCCGTTAAACGCGATGACTCATATGCTGGTCACCGTATTTGACACGAACTACAATCTGCTAAGAATTTGTCTATAACTCCAACATTACAGTACAAGACTGAGTTATTAGCGATGCTATGTACAATGTAGGTTTGTGTTCTCTCCCCCCCCCCTCGTATCTTTGAACGTGCATTCCCCTATCACGCCTGTTTCTTTTGCCTCACTGTGTATAATAACCAGGTTGTTCAACCCTAGGAGATACCTTATAAATTTGCAACAGATATGGCACGTCAACATCACAGATTGCCTTTCTCAACGTACCATCATGAACTGCACAAAAAGCATAGCATACGTGGTGTATTATGATACGTACTGTATACAGCTATGGCTTCAGCTTCAGCTCGGACTGTGTGTATTCTCAAATGCGTTAGTTGCGTTATGAAACAGTCACGCAGAGTTACCTAAAATTGCATTAGAATCTCTGACAAGCCTGTCTCTTTTATACCATCTACTCTACGTTTGACGTCAACCTTTTCAAGCGGGCCGCTACGAGCCTTTGCGCCCAGCTCTAACCCCCACGGACATCTGGACGTCTACGTACGGCAGGGGTAAACACTCTACTGGGGCAACAAGATGACAACAGCGACCCTGACCTCAATGTGTCCCGCTCTACTTCTTATTGACAAATATGACAAACACACTGTGCTATGATAAGAAAAAACAGAATCTTGTGACACCAGTGTTATATTTCTAAGGATCCACTATTCTATACGTATTGCCCACGCAAGACATTCGGCTATCAAGATAAAGCATAGGGCATCGGATGTCTGATACAGGCTGGAGTTTGTTAACCTATATTAACGAAAGACTGCCCGAATTATTTGGAAGGCAACTATGTATTAATAGAATCCAGTGTAAAAAAAATTGGGGGAATGGATAAATTCCTTGGAGAGAATTCCTTGTCTTCCGGGCCGGGTTTGAATTGCCTGTGTATCTGAAATGCCACTATATTCATGGTATATACGTAACATTTAACAGGAAGAGGCAAATATGTTGTGTGGAATTAGAACAGAAGAGCGACTTGTGTTTTGCCAAGGTGCTCAAAAGTAACAAAGAACAGGTTTTTGAACTCCAACCGCAGTTCTGTACCGGGTACTTCATATGCACGCTTTCAACCACAAGAATTTCACCAACACCAAGATTGACATTATCACGAAAAACTGGTGTTTTAACCACAAAATATTTCGAAAGTGTTAAATGCAGTAATAAAATGTGAAGCCGTTTAACGAAAAGTGCAAATGTACACCAACTCAGGGTAGGCCTTCACATGCCGCACTGCAGAACTCGCGTTTTCATTTTGTCCTTTTCGTGTTGTTGTTATATGACAAATAAAATCTGACTCCATAAAAACCCGCTTTTGCAGACATCAGTAAATGAATAAACATCTTGCAACGAACTGAATGACTCGCAAACTACGCTCGATTTTAAATATCTGAATTATTGAACTGTGTTGTAACTGTAAAACCTGTCAGAGCAAACAAGAAAGGACGCCAATGACGTCCATGAGGCCTAATACAATGTACATGCCTTGATCGTATTAGTAATGGATTATTAAGTCTTAAAGAGCAGAGATTCACATCGCATAACGGCAATACATCTTTAGTGACAACTGCAAACATGCCCACTGAAAAATGAGTGACCTCAAACAGTCGTTGAAACCACCACCATGACTTCTTTTCTGCATATCAAAATGGGCCATCGCCACCGCTGTTGCACAAGTTGAAATAAACAGCCGGGAAATCGCGTGTGACAGGCAGGGGTCTCATGACTGAATGCGGGCGCCCAAGTAAACAAGCTCACCTCGGGGAGCGACAAGTGCAATGATCTCCCAAGATAGTGACTTTATTTTCCACAAGTACACACTGAGCCCCGGGCGCCGGGCTCGTATGATTCTACCCTTGGCATGGAGAGCTCGGGTAAATAGACACTGGGTATGACCCGTATTGTAGAACAAGGGACAATCTCTTGTTTTTTCAGCTTTACAGCGTCCCTGGTCATTATTGTCCTTGTCTCGTGTAAACAGACCTTTAAGTACAAGTTAAGACTATCCCAACAAATTCTCTTTTCAAACAAATATCGAACAGCGGTGGAGAGAAACAGTGAAAGGTGTGTAACGATCCAATCAACAGTGCTGCCACCTGGCGACACAGGTGCGCGCTGATAGAGGCCGCGGTTGTTGAGCGGTTTCTGAGGAATGAGAATAAAAATAACTTCTCAGCATCCAGGTCAATACAAGCTCCGGATGAAATTATGAGAAAATCTACAAGGATATTTGCAATGCATTTGAGGAGTGATCAATAACGCGTTCTCCCTTCTGAAACATTCAGCGAGTAATTGCCAGCGCTTTCCGCTCGTAAGTGATGTAATTTCTTCAAAACTGGCGATTTCAAGGTCGCATATTGCTTAGCGGCGGAATGAGCTCGGACTTAAGACCATCATCACCCTGTGTTATTTTACCTAAACTTGTGGTTACTATAAAGAATTAATGCACGCTGAAACATGAAATAATTTAAATTATAAGGCTAAAGCGTCCTGTTTTTATTAGTAAAATCCTGAAGTCGCTTCTCCATAAGATGGTCGTGACAGCACACACCCATAAAATAAATGTGAAAATCCAACGTGCGTTGGTGCATGTGCATCAATGTTCCACACGGCATAGATTTTGATAGCGTATGTTGAATCTACATGACACTTACTTTAACCACGCGATTTTTTATCTTATCATTTTTGTTTTGCACCGACAAAAAGTGTTTTTATGCCACCAGCACCCCTATGCCCCCTATCCCTGACGACCATGAGAATTAAATTTACCACACAGAGCACATGCCAAATATGAATGAAATTCCAAGAAGCTGTTTTTGTACTTCAATTATAAACCGATGTATATTCAATAGAGGTTTTAATTGTATCAATTGGATGACGTTTTGCTTTGTCCTCCTTAAATGCCTACCCTTATACAAATATCACCGTTTTAATGATAAATGCTGGTTTGTACTTTTATTCTTAGTTGAAATGGTTTATGGACTTTTAAAGATAGTTGAAAAATAGTAAAGTCAAATACTGCTTTTGGCATTTTTTGTAATGTAACGGGTATCTTTTCAGTAGCACGTCGCAATTAATAGCAAGGACCGCGTCTTGTCTTTCTATTTTGTCTTCCCAAGTCTTCTAAATTTGTGTTGCATAATTGATGTGTCATATAGGCCTTATATAAAGAAAAAAAGATCAATAAAAATTCTTCATTCTTTTCATTCTCTTTCTCATCACTTACAACAATCCAATTATCTTAAAATGGACACGATTCTGGTCATGACTACTGACATTCGGAACTGACCAAAGGGTGCCTGAAATCACATTACTCATGTTGCTATGGCAACGACCTGTGAATTCATTATTTGAGCTATAATGTCAACGCGACCTGGCATAGGTTTGATTTATTCCGACATAAGTTAACCATGGCCATACAAACACCGATCGTATTCTATTCGATAATATATCTAGCAATGAAAATATGCCAACAAAGATATCTTTCAATACGAAACGTGATTTTAGACACATTTGGACACATTGGTAATACCTGAGAGAAACAGAAACTCGTTCCATCAAGTCAAGTCATATACTCAATGAAAATGACCTACATGTGGAGCGATCGATTTAATAACAAACCGCTAATTCTGATAGTTATGTAACCCACTACTTGTTTACAGCTCGGACAAGACCACATGCCATGTTAAATCTTTTATGTAAACTGACATCGAGGATCGAAACTCAAACCCGTTCTACGTCATACCAATTGTTTGCCGTGTTTATGTCAATTGACGTGTTTATGTCAAAAGCTTGCTGTAACGGGTCTCGGGTAAAACCTCTGGGTTTCAAAATACACTGGGCACCGGTTCTCTGTACGGTCAGTTCGAAACAGCAGATTGACATGCCGATGGAAGAGGGGAGAGTACACTGACCTCTGAATTTCTGGGTGCTGGAAGTGCAACTCCTCTCAACCGAAAGCCCTCGACAAAAGAAAGCAGGGTGTTTGGATTGTTGAAACTGGTCAGATTCGCCTCCAGCGCCGTCCAAATTGCATACCATAAAGGGTCATAACGGTTTCAAGGTCGGGCAAAAAATTGTAAACACCTTTTGAAAATGTTAATCAAACAAGGGATGGCTTAAATAAATAAAATATCGAACTATCTTATATCGCGCAAGCTACTTGAAAGCAAATTTATGTGAAACCGGATTTGTCAAGCAGGCCCTAAGTTGTAGGGCATTGACAAGTTATCAACATTTATGTTTGTTTGCTTTTTTTTCATTGCAGATATGAAATGTGGCAGCCAAATGTTTGAGGTTGGCTTTGGCTTTAAACTGTATCTTCATACTGATTAAATAGTTTAACTATTTCGAATTCCAACGTCCAATGTTAGAACTTTTATAAATATGAACGCACGGAGGGTAGAATGTACCTTGGGTGTACATGAACAGAAACGGCAAAAGTACAGAGTGTATTCATACAACGTATGCTTAGAAGCCACTAGATGAGGTAAAAACGGGCGTGAAATACAATCTTAACGCAAAGCGCCAAGGCCGTTTGTCCTCCCTTAAGCCGACTTTAGTCGCCTCCCTAACTTTAGCCTGACCTCAACATAGCCCTATCGTTGACATTTGACTAAATTTAACAAAAGCAGATGAGAACCTCCGTGTCCTGTAACCAAAGGTTGTCACCTCACTGATCAACCGTGTCATTTAATATTCTGTCACCACACCTGTCGCATCAGGACACTGACACGAGTTTGTAATATAAACAACTCTAAATAGTGACGATCGCCAGGTTCAACTCTTTATCTGACTCTACATAAAATACAGTTGAGGTCAGATTATTTGATACTTAAAGGTCTAACGTGTTGAACGCTTTGAGAGCATGTCGGTGCGTGAACTATTCTCACTAAAAACCGACGAGCGGTGTGCAAAGCAAAGAGAAAGGAAGCGTTTTTCCGTCACTCAGTATTAATAACCATCTGTATCCTTAAATTGAACTATACATACATCCTCATGAACCTTAAGTACTTGATTATCAAATCTGTAAAAACCAAAGCCATTGCCTTATCTTTGTTAAACTTGGTTCTTTTCAATCTTTTGCAAAACTGTAAGGGTATACGTACCAAAATCTCATCCGAAAATTTATCCTTGCCTTCCCCCACGTAACAATGGTTAATAAGTCAAACAAGTCAAACTCTATAAGACGCCAGATCAGCGATTTACCTTGTCTCTAAATCGAATCCCAATACTGTGAGAATAGCAACTCTGCATAAAAACCATTAAGTTATTTCCTTGGATGTTCAGCGCACGCATCTAGCTCAATTGTCTTGTTTTATCTTGTTTTTACATCGTCTTAAGCACATTTCATTGATTTTAATTCAGGAAATTGTTCTGTCCTTTGCAAAGAGCAACAACCTCAACCGAACTATACTCCTAGCAACTCACGCGAATCTTCAAGGTAAAAGATCGTCCAAGTAAAAGTCGAAGTTTCTTACGAGTCCAAATTTGCAAAATCCTAAATCCAGCATCAGCAGACTGGTAACTACACAGGCAGCGGTTATCTCCAATGTCTTTATCTATACATATAAGTAAACTCTCTCTTTCTAGTCAGTCTTCCACCTGTCAATTCCACGATAGTCTAGTCTAATGTCCCTTGGCTGACCGTTCAACGCAGGCTAAGTTGTCAAAATAGAAACACAATGGACTTCTAACCCGTAAGCACCTAAAACGCAAGCTCCAGCGAGACCTGCTGGTAGAGCGTATAAAATACTACACGCTACAGAGATGAGCATATATATCCCCGTATATTCTTTAAATAGTCTTCAGCGCGATTGGTAAGTAACAAGTTGTGACGTCACTCTCCTGGCTACAAGTACATGTAATCTTGAAATGTACTTATTATATATCACCTTGGATATATATAAATGTGCGAAGTTACTAGTCATCACTCCAGCCTGTTACACTTCCCTCACAAATCATAGAAATGAGATAAACAACATGCAAATGCTGCTGCCCTGCCTCCTGCTACGTCACTATGCCTTGACACACATATATCACGGACAGCGTGCTTCACATGTTATGTCATTCACCGAGAGCATATATAAACAAATTCGGGTCAAACCACTTAGCTGATGTCAGCCTCATTTTCTCACAAACGGTGTGTACATGTTCATGCTCACGGAAAATGAATATTATAATTATTCAGTTAAACAGATTTTGATAAATTCCTTTGACACATGTTTTATAAATCAAGTAATATATATTATATATACAACAAATGACCACTGTGTGTGACACGACAGGAAGTAAACAAAGTATCGCTTCCAAGTGCACTGGCTATCACGTTACTTTCTATATTATACAGTGTATATTGTGGCTCTTTAGGTTCCGCTGGCGTTATAATGTGAAAGAGCAGGTGCCCGTTTATCTAGAGTTACGCGAAAGTTTAAATCCCAGTTCAAACTCAAGGTCAGTCTCCATCTAATAACACCTCTGGTGTATGGCAACCCAAATGTTTAACGACAAAATAAGTGGTGTGTTTGAGTCGCAATCTAACTTGCTACAACCGCAAATGTCGAAAAAACTCCCTATAAATATTTCAACTGTAACCCCTTTACATATAGAGCATGAAGTTGGGATTCGCATATATTTCATACGTAAAGCTATGGCAACAGCAGCGCATGCGTGGAATAAATCCTAGAGAGAATGCAGAGGTGTGTCAGCTACGCGTGTTCTCATTGGCTGATTTCTGGGTTAACTGGTGGCATGATGTATGAAAATGTGCAACGTGAAAAAAAAAAGACATTTGCGGAGATTTGTGCAGTGCCGTTTTTCAGATGGCAAAGGGAACGACACGAGGCACAAATATTTTCCCTTTTATATATCATTTGCTTGGCTTTTGCAGAACAATTTGACTTGCCTATTTTTATAAATTTGTTTCCTTTGACTGTTTGCGCTTTTTGCACGCGAAGTGTACTTTGGAGCCATAAATACAAATAACAATTACAAAACGGTGCGAATTTGACACGTTGAGCCTTTAACGTGTCAGTAAATATTAAAGTACACCCAAAAATAGAAACCTGTTCTAAGACATTTGACATTTATAGCAAACATTATTACATAGTTTAATGTATTAAAATCCTAACCTTCGGCTCTTCCACATAATTTGAACTCTGTTGTATTTAGGCTGCTTGTTGAGTCCAAGGGTAAACGGAAGCAGTTAAAAACAAAACAAAACTACTTGAAATTTCTACAAGTGGCCTTTGAGCTGCACAAAGATTATGAATGTATAAAACAGTTCTCGTTCAATTACAGGTTGACGTGGAGTGAAACTACTAGTTACATTTGCTTATCCATGCAACCTCACTTCATTAACTAAATCATAACGGGATACAGCGTGGCTATTTTTAAAAGGCATGAGTGCGGTTACCTAACGAACAGAGGCTTTAAAACAGAGTTTCACGGAGACAAACCACTAGATGTTTTTAATGATGTGATATTTGACGTCATGAAGCCAAATAGACGGAAATGAAAGCACCCAAACAAGTATTAGGCTTCACAAAATAATGGAATAATTCCACTTGTATCGAAGCCGGACTAGAGAGGAGGTCGCGATTCCCGTCTTCAATCTTGCTAATGTCAAACACTGTCTGATTCAACTCGATGCTGCTCCGATGCTTCAATGTTTTATGTCAGTCTGAACTTTTTCATTTTTGAACTGTGGGTTCACTTATACTAACAGCAAAGTATCCGAAACATTGTATCAACACCTTTAGTGAAATGATTCTCGATAGTTTGACAATATGTTTTGCAATTACAAAGTCTGGCATATAGCTTAAAAACCCATGTGAAGTTATCGGGATTCAAACTAATAGAACATTTTAGATTAACTTACTTTTGACGGTCACGAAATCATGAAGCTGACTTCGATTTTCCACCTCCACTCTTTTCTTTTCTCCTTTCTCTGTTTTTTTTCTTCTTTCAGTTACTTGAATTCAAGGCTCATTTACCGTTTGCTGCAAAAAGAAAATGAAAATATTTAGTTTAACAGATTCACAATTTGGTCTTCATTTTTTGTTAGATAAAACGAACGGAAAATTTTCCAGTACATGTATTTACAATACGCTGGCCGTTCGACGATTTGAGCTGCAGCCTCATCATTTGAGGAACAAGTAAAGGAAATACGCCTAAAAAAACAATAGCTAATGTGCCGAAATCGCACCTCTTGCTTTGTTGCACAGCCCAAACCACTTTGGCACGCCACAGGTTTAAACGTTATCAGAGAGGTGCACCCTTGCCTACATGATCGCAACTGGACTTCTTGAAATCGCCACAGGTTTAAGAACAAAACCCGCGAGCACAATGACCATTGTCGCCTTTCACGAGAAAGTATTACAAGAGTCACAGTGACACCTTACCATTCATTCACCGCGCATCCCTCGCACGCGAGAGCCTCGTCAAATTGCTCAGCGACGATTCCTAACTGACAAATTCCTTTTCGGACGCATTCACTCTTGACTTAATTAAGTGTTCTATCCAACTTCTTACACAATTCCCTACGTGTAGGATCGTTAAATTAAAATACATTAAAAACCCTTTTCATCTTTTTTTTCTCTCTAATGACCTAATTTAACTCGCATTATCGGTCTGGTGATACTTTGTATGGGGGGATTCTACACAACAGGTTAACTCTATTTATCTAATTGTTTACATCGTATTTCAGTTTCAAGTGTACCGTCGCCTTCGATAAATGTTCTGAAAAAAGTTCGGCATTGTTGTCGTTTGAAGTCATCTGTTATCACAATAACTATACTCAGTCCCTAACAAAATATATGCAACGTAGAAATTAGCAAAACAGCCATTTAGAAGTGTTTTTTTGGACATTTGTAATACGTCGGGTAAGCATCCAAGCTACATGCTTTACAGGTCTCATTTCTTATTACATTAAACTCGTCTTCGTCTTACCAACAGTGAACCCCTCCTAAAAATTGGTGAACGTTTTAAAGAGGCACCATAAGTTAACCAGAACGCCACACAAAACGCCGACGACTCTTTGTCGCCATGTTCAAGCTATAGCCTGTATCAAATCAGGACGCCGTAGATGTGAGGTGGACCATAACATGGCAGTGTTTATAAAGCACATCGTGTTGCACGCGTCATGAACCCTGGAGAACAATGCCTTGATGGCACCTCACAAGCTTACCTGATATGACCTAGATCAAAAATATTTTTAGGTTATAATACAGTTAGCCCTATTGTAATGAGAGTGACTCCACTATGGTTCACAAAAAGGTTTGTAGATTCTACAAGTCAACTGGCGGTCGTGTTACCTTTGTTATAAAAACATAGGGGTATATCGATGCAAGTAAAGGTTCAATTTTGTAACAAATAAAGCATTGTAAATAAATATATAGTGAAAGTTTTACCTTAAACATTAATACCATGCACAGCTTTTCGACAAAGCTGGCGTTCCGGAAAAATATTTTCATTTTTTTACAGGAAAAGTTAGGGCAGGGGCTGGACTGTCTCTACTTTTTTCTTTGAAGGAAAAGATATACAGCCACAAGCAGTTTTACATTGAGAATGAGCCTAAGAATAATTTTTCATTTAGTGTTACGTCACTGATATCTTATTGTGTTACGTCACTGATTTTCCACTGTATGTTACGTCACTAATATCGTCATTTGTCTGATGTGCCACTGGTATCCCCTTCCCTCAGAAATGTTCAGGTGGCGCAATGAAATTCCAAACCATCCCGCCGTTTCCTTTGCTGTTAAAGAGTGTCCAAACAAAAAGCAAATGAGTCGTAGTCCAAGTTGACAAAAAGATAAAAGAGCAGTTAACCTCGGCTATTTTTAAATGACCATATCATTCCCACCTTGTCACTTCAAAGAAACAGCAAATACCTAGGTCAATGACCAATGAAGGACTGTCCACCACTGGTCAATTATTCAATCAAGACGGGTACTTCAGGGTCGGTGACAGTTTAATCTGTCTTTAAACACAGCAGAGTTGGAGAGCACATGGCATTCGGGCACGGGGCCAATTCTGGGCTAATCACCTTCCATCACCGGCGGTGTCCTGTCAGCCCCTGGTCACCGTGCGCCAACTG